TTATTCCACCTTTTTGTAAATAACTGAAAATAATACATTTTAAAGTATTTCAAATATTGTTTATGTTTAAATTTCGTTATACTCATCATGTTTTGATTTTTTTATACTCAATGTTGAATATTTTTGCATTATACTTGTTTTATTTTTGTATTATTCCGCAGTCACACTTGTGTATTTTTAAGCGTGCAGAATTTGGCAAGCTTATACTCTAACTAGAGTATAAGCTTGCAAAATTCTGTCAAATGGCATTCCGAAAAGAGGCGGGATTAAACAAGATGATTAGAGATTTAAAAAGCGAGTGATTGGTCCATTTTTAAAATTTCTGTCCAGAGAGGTCATGTTTTGATCTTCGATTGTTCTTACACAGTCAAATAAATTGATTTCGTAGGTTAGAGTTCACCAAGCTTGAACTTTGCAACGCAGCAAACTGCGAATCTTGACGTACGAATTTGTGTTTCCGCATTCGCGTGCATTTGAATGGAAGTCTATGGGGAGAAAAGTCCAGTGTGACCGCAGCTTTAGGCTGACAAAGGCTTAAACGAATAAAAAATAGGTCTCGAGAGCTCCCCTGAATTTATTTGTTCAGCCTTTTCCTTGATTATTCAGGGTTGACAACTCTACAAGCATGTGTTTATGCAATGAATACCCTGTAATAAAACAGTTAAATTCACGTATAAATTACCTGTCAAAAAGTAAAAAATCGATATAAAATTGTAAGAGCAACAAATAATAACTTGACTTAATTGGAAAAATGGCAGAGAATTGATTTTTCCAATAAATCATCTGTTAAACTGCAACCCAATCATTACAAATACAGCAGAAGACCTTTTGGAACCCACATGGACCAAAGATTCTCACAGAAATCAGTCAAATTTTGTGATGGAAAAATCATGGTTTGGGGTTACATTCAGTATGGGGCGTGTGAGAGATATGCAGAGTGGATAGCAACATCAACAGTCTGAGGGCCAATTCTTCAGCAGGATAGAATTCCTCATACTTCAGCCTCCACATCAAAGTTCATGAAATCAAAGAAGGTCAAGGTCCTCCAGGATTGGCCAGCCCAGTCACCGGACATGAACATTATTGAGCACGTCTGGGGTAAGATGAAGGAGGAGGCATTAAAGATGATTCCAAACAATCTTGATGAGCTCTGGGAGTCCTGCAAGAACACTTTCTTTGTCTTGCAAGAACACTTTTTTTGCCATTCCAGATGACTTTATTAATAAGTAATTTGAGTCACTGCAGAGATGTATGGATGCAGTCCTCTAAGTTCATGGGAGTCATATACAATATTCATTCTTTTTCCACTGCACCATGACTTTATATTCTATACTGTACATTATTTCTGTTAAGTGAAGTGAAGCAATCTATCCTGGATTAATCTAGGAAAGAGGGGGATGAGTAGGGGTGGATAAGGGGATTCTTTAAGACGAAAATGACTAAGGTAAGAAACTCTGGTTATTTATGTGCATTTTGGATTCGTCTGATTTGTAAATCATATGATAGCTAATGCAGGACCAGCCGTGGTCAATCATAAGCAAGTGATCCTCTTGAAATTAGTTTGGAAACAAACTTCACTTAAATTTCTAACCTAATGTGACCACAATTTGTGATTTATTTATTTATTATTATTATTATTTGTAAAAACAAACGTAACCCTGCACATTCCTGTATTCTGTTATGGCCAATCAGATCTAGACCTTTGGTTTTGTAAACACTGATGCTGATCTTATCACTAAAAAGTGACTCCAGACTGTGCTTTAAAAGCCATGCCTCATGATCCCAAACTTAGCCAGAGGCGTCTGCTTGTCCTGAGCGACCTGACTAGCTCTCTAATCCCGCCCGGCTTTAGTGCTGCTCTCTGCACGTTACATAACTGTGAAAGAGCAGATTACTGAACGTTTGGCCTTGCATTTGGCCATGTGCGTCTCTCAGAGATGCTACAGGTGCAAGAAAGTGTTAGAAAACCTATCAGGGGATCTTTGTTTACTAGAGCATACAATATTTATTGATACATATTTACAGTATCTTATAACGAATCACACATATTTACAAGCATTATCATTTTGTTAGCTTTCACACTGCCAAAAATTTTCATTTTATTAGCAACTGAATCACAACAAATGTCTCTTTTGTGATAAAATAGTTTTGCAAACCAGGAATTTAAAGCATTAAAAGTAGCATAACTGTTGTTAATTTTGCGTTGTCTTTTTTAATTACTATTAAATTATATGTTCATGCTGGAAAGTGCAATCTAAAATATTTATAGCTGAGGATAATTCAGTTTTTATATTTTATTTAAATGTAGAACTCATTCTGTGATTGTTTGTTTATGTCATTAAATCACAGACGTTTGTGTAAGCCTGTATGACACTGACAGAAATGATGAATAGATATATTACTTATATTTAATGTGCATTTTAGGATATCATATAGAACAAATGCTGGAAGGAATTAGCGGGATGCACATTAAATTCTAAAATTCACTCAATTCATGCTGTTATTTTGAGAAAATGTTTACAAACTACAATAGAAATAATTTACAGAAAAAAATCCTCAATATGTAAATAAATAAAAATAAAACTGCTGCAACAGATCTTGTGACTGGATGACTGAACTAACTAGTCTACCAATCTCAAAATCACTGTCAAAAAATTTGTTTTGTTTAATTTGTACCATCTTGAATGTTTTGTGGTTTGGTGCAAACCAATTATCTTATAGGAAATTCAGCTGGCTGCTAAAACTTCCATTTTTATTAGTAATACTTGCAACAGATTCCCATGTAACAACATTGTTTACGGGATTGAAAAAGTGCTTCATTTGCTAAATGTTTGTGCAATATTCTATTTAGCAGCATAAGTTAAATTCACTACTTTGGATGGGAAATTTGCTAAACTGTCCCCTTGAACTGGCAATATTGGTAAAAAGTGATTTTGTGAGACAGGAATGCACCACTGAGGTTTCAAAATGCGCTTCCTCTTTTCAGTGTTCTTCACAGCATTGCTTCACTTGTCCTGTATTACCCCACATGCAACTACAATAAAGGATGTTTTAAAGAACACAGAAAGCCAAACTTTCCAAAAATTTAGACCTAACATATTGTTTGCAAAAACAAAACATGTAATACATTCAGTATGTAAATACTTGCAAACTTATTAAACTTAATTGCAATCATGCAGTTTCAATCACTGCATTTTTTTAATACAGTTGAGAGTTCAATAGGAGGTTGTGGTGTATCAGTCTTCTATTGGTCACATGACTTCAGAACTTTGGAACACAGCAAAATACATAACTACTACACATTCCCATATACATCCTGCATTTGCAATGCAAAGACCATACAATACATAAGACATGTCACTTTTTATAGCTTTGAATGGGGGAATGTGTAATGATCTATCATATATGGCAGAAGAAAACCCCGGCTTCTAGTAAAGGAGACAATTCAGTTAAATTCAAGCTTATTATAATGCTTTTTTTACAATAATTATTGTTCCAATCAACGGTCGTTATAGACTAATGATTCTCTCGGGGAGGGGCTCCGTCCAAACTTTGGTTTTTACTAACCTGCTCTGGGGTCAGCAAATGTGTTGTAATCTCAGTGAATACCTTACAAAAAAAAAAAAAAAAAAAAAAATATATATATATATATATATATATATATATATATATATATATATATATATATATATATATATATATATATATATATACACACACACAAAAATATATCTACATAACACTTCCTACAAAACCAACTACACTTGGAAAGAAATGTTCTCTGATTTTGTAATTTGTTTGAACAACATATTCTGAAAACGTAGCCCTATATACATTTCTGGAGATTGCAAATTATGTAGCCAGAAGTATGTATGGCTGCATTTCGTCTTTAAAATGAACACTACGGGGCGGTCTGATACTGTTCCTTACCAGTTCCTTACCGCTTACCTGCATGTGGACGGCTTTCTCGCTGTTATCAGTTTGTCTAGTTAGCTCGCCAAGTACGTCTATGGACTTGAGACACAGAGAGGAGCTAACCACGATGACAAGGTTCGAGTCTGGCGAAGAACAGTCCAAAAAGCAGGTAAGAAAAAAACAAATGCCAAAAAAATAAAGTAAACAAGTAAATAACGATGGGAATGTGGTCAAATATAAAAACTGTCAGTTGGGTTCAGGGAAGTGGGTGGATGGGTCAGTCTGTGCTTTTGAAAACACTATTGGTTGGGTTTAGGGAAGGAGGAGGATGGGTCAGTTAATCAGTCAATTATTCAGTCAGTCTGTTACAGCGGCCTCTGGTGGACTTACGCCAGAACATTAGGCACCAATTGCACTCGCGAGAGAAATTTGAGATTTCAAAAAGCATACATAGTGACCTCTGGTGGATTCGTGAAAACAAAAACTGCAAAAAAATTGTGGCTCCTGGGACGTTTTTGGCACTCTCCAGAAATGTATATAGCGGTATGTTTTCATAATGAGTTTGGATTGTGTTTGAAACAAACATAAGGGACAGTCAGTCCCGTCTGACCTCTTGAATTCCTGCCTTCACCATTCAAACACAAATGCAAACACAAACAAAGCAGTCGGTGTCGATTGGGGAGCAGATTTGCCATTAAGAATAAGTTACTTCAGAAGACTAGCATGATTGGACATGTGTATCGGCACCAGCTTGGGCAACCTGAATTTGTGTGTGTGTGTGTGTGTGTGTGTGTGTGTGTGTGTGTGTGTGTGTGTGTGTGTGTGTGTGTGTGTGTGTGTGTGTGAGTGTGTGTGTGTGTGTGTGTGTGTGTGTGTGTGTGTGTGTGTGTGTGTGTGTGTGTGTGTGTGTGTGTGTGTGTGTGTGTGTATGATTCAAACTTTTATAATTTGAAAGTCCTTAAGAGACTGTAAGGTTCCATTTTATAAATGAAATACAATTTTAAGTGATCATTAAATTTAGACTGATTCTAATTCTTCTTACATATTTAGCTCCATGAGGAAATAATGAGGTCAAGAAATCTATATTATCTTACGAGTCTGTTATTAAATTTTAATGTTGATTCCAACTGTAAACTGTAGGCATTTCAAAGATGGCCACTGAGTGAAATGACTTGCCTTAAAGGGACTTCGATATGAATGAAGGGAAGACATTGTAACCAAAGTGTATCCCTTTTAGTCAGTGTATTTATTCTTTTTTCTTTTCTCCTTGTCTTTGCTTTTTTTCTCTTTGTCCTTCTCCTCCTTTTCCTTCAAGGCTTTCTTCTCTTTCTTCTTCTCTTCCTTGGCCTCCTTATACTTCCACTTTGGAGGCTCCAGGTAGCCCTTATCTTTTTTGTTCTTCTTTTCTTTCTTCGGAGTTGGCTCGGAGGATTTGGTGACTTTGATCTGTGGGATGCAGCCGGAGGGGAAAATGCTATTGCGCCTTGATGCTACGCTACGAGGAATGAATGTGCGCATACCAATGGACAGCACACTGCCCCGTCTCTCAGTATCGGGACAGCAGGTCATAGACACAAACTCGGCTGAATGGAAAGATGGAGACACAGAGGAGATGGAGCTGTTTCGGTGGCACAGTGAACTCTCCTCCAGCAGTTTCTCAGAGTGCTTTTGCATCAGCTCAGCCACAGCCAGCCGCCGTTTACCCATCTGTGGAGGGCTGCTCGGGCACAGTGGCCGTGTAGCTGTAGCTATGAGTGGGCTATGCAGACTGGTGGTCATTCGCACCATGTGATCCATGACACCGTTTTCCACTGGGTCACGTGGGAAGCTGAAACCGAACCTATTCTTCAAATGATGTGTCAACTTCTGACCTGCACTCCTGTTGGCTGTTGCTTTGCTGACCAGCACCTTGAGGTTGGGCCACTCGGGAACGTAGGTATCACAGAACTGCTCCGCTGTGGGATGGAGCGCAAGGTGGCGCAGTCGTTTCAGTGTGTCAAAGCGGCCAGTCTTCAGCGCCCAGTCACGTGCACATTTACCACGATTGGAGTCTACAGCATTTACATCAGCACCTGAGACAGAATGATTTAAGAAGTTGAAAACACCAACTCATGGCAAGGTACAGTAAAATGCATGCACAATAATGTGGACAATACAAAATGATGCACAATTGTAAAAAAAAGAGTGATTGAACATATGAATTCTGGGAAACATGGTGGGATTTAGGTCCTTCCCACATAGCAAAATATCTTTGGCCCAGCTCTGGCCCACACAATCAGCTTTTGCTTGTCCGCAGTGACTTATGGTACATGACTGGACCAAGTCTGGCTTTCAGACAAGGGCCAAACATGGACCATATCTGGGCCAAATACTACATTTTACATCTGTCCCAAATATTGTGTACCGCTTTAAAGACAGAGGCACCTCTGCCAAACCCAGGTCATGTTTGGCCCACATGCTGTATGCCAGTGCCAGATGAATGCCTGCAGTGCTAAATTTAAGCCAAATCTGGGCCAGAATTCTTTGCTACCTGGGTTCTGTCCTAGTTACACTGTCTTGTTGTCTTAGGTTGACAGGACTTGACAGTACAAGTGTACTGGATGTGGTCTAAGTTTAAACTTAAATAGATCAGTTGTTGTAATTATGTTGATACAACTTTATGATTTAAACGTAATGGACATGGATTAACTTTAGTGAACTTGACTCTCTCATTCACACACACAATATGGCCAATTTTGTTTATTTAATTCACTTAAACCGCATGTTTTTTTGGAAAACTGGAGCACCCAGAGGAAACCCACATAAGCAACCTGCAAAGTCCACAAAGAAAGGCCTATTGGCCCAGCCAGGACTCGAACCAGCGAACTTCTTGCTATGAGGCGACAGTCCTACTGAGCCACAGTGTTGTAATAAAATATATATAAACAGAATTACAAAATCCATACAAATACAATTTTAAAGTGTATTTATTTCATTCAAATGTATTCATTTTAATTTGCATATATTTGTACCAATGTATTTATATATAAACAGAATTACAAAATGCATACAAATACAATTTTAAAGTGGATTTATTTCATTCAAATGTATTCATTTTAATTTGCATATATTTGTACCAAGGTATTTGATATATATTTTAATATATATATCAATGGATTCAATCCAGATAAGTTAACATAACTACAAATATTAATAATAAATATGTGATAAATAATAGGCGCAATTATTTTTTTACAGTGCACTGCTAAATTACATATGGTTTTCCCCACAATTAATTATTTTTGTTTATTTCCCCACAATTAATTACTTTGTTTTTTTTTAGTTTGTTTTTCTTTTTTTTTTCTTCCCTTTTATTCTAAATATTTTTTCTTGTATGGCTTAAAATTGTCCATTGTCACAGACAGACACACACACACACACACACACACACACACACACACACACACACACACACACACACACACACACACACACACACACACAATAACAACCAAAACATATTTAAATGTTGATTTTTGGGAGTCAGTTTGTTATGTTTGGTTGTATTTAAACAGTAAACGGTTTGTATAAATTGTCAAAACCCCTATCATCTAAAAAAAAAAAAAAAAACAAACAAACAAATAAATAAATAAACAAATAAATAAATAAGTAGCAGAAATCATCCACTGCAAAACTGACCTTTTACTCAGCTGATTGATTCATTAATCTTATGGGTTATACTGAGGTGAAATGGACCAATGCCAGCACACCATTCTTGATTGGCTGTGATGGTCATTTGGGGATTTGGTGACGTCTTTTCCAAGAAATGTGATGAATATAAGCAATGCAAAATTCACCAAGATATCATCGTGTGTGTGTAACTACTAACCGTGCATTATAAGAGCAGCCACCACATCATTCCTGCCCTGTATGGCAGCTTTAATGAGGGCAGTGAATCCTCTGTTATCTCTGATCTCTGTGTCTGCTCCAGGGAAGTAATTCATGATGTAGTTACATATGGAGACATGACCTGTGTACAAAAAAGGTTTCAGGCTTGTTTTTCACATTGCATATTGCACAATATATTAACAAATTAGATGAATTCCCTAAAGAAATTACAAATTTTAACTCAAATTGCATATAACATTAAATTTATTCTATTTATATATAAAACATTCAATTATCCTATGTAAATTAGACTTTCAGTACTACAGTATGTCCACAGAACTCAATACTAAAGTACTAATAGCAATAAATAGCTGAAACAACTGACCAGCTTGAGCGGCGATCATAAGGGCGGTGTTGCCGTCATTGTCTTGGTGGTTAATGTTCAAATGTGGGCAGCCATGCAGCTCATACACTATTTGAAGAAAGCCTTTATATGCAGCCACCATCAGTCCATTCTGCATAAATAAGTCCAAGAGACACATATCATTTATATTGAAGTACATAATGTTTCATATCAGAAAGTAACAAGTTCATAATCATACAAACTATATGATAATAACAAAGACCAGACAGAACTGCAAAAAATTTTGTAAAAATAAAAAATAAAAAATCCAGCGAAATGATTTTGGAATTGTAACTAAAAACTTAAAACATTTATTAACAATATTTTCTTTTTAAAAATTAATACTTTTCCCATGCAAATCAATCAGAATCAATTATTTGGAAAACAAAACAAGTTTATCACTTAATATATCTACTAAAAGACTTTTTGCATATTAGTCAATATTACTGTAATATCAAAATGTTCATTTTTCTTTGGCTTAAAGTTCTTTATTTATTAGCGGGTCACCAGTGCAGAATGAACCACCAGCTATTCTACCACGTTTTAAGTAACGGATGGCTTTCCAATGTCAACCCTTTAATGGAAAACATCCTTTCACTCACATTCAGACAAACTCATACACTATGGCCAATTTAGTTAATCTAATTCACTTGAAGCACATGTCTTTGAACTGCTGGGGAAATGGGAGCGTTTAGAGGAAATCCACTCAAACAATGGTAAACGTAAAAATTCCAAACAGAAATGTCAACTGACTCAGACGACACTCGATCCAGTGCCCTTCTTGCTGTGAGGCTAACCACTGAGTAACGCCCATTTACACTCATTTATATAAGTAAATAAATAGACTCAGTGATAGACAAAAAATGTGAAGAAATCTGCAAGCGCAGATTCCATTTAGGCCTACTAATAACTCTGCAAAAATGATAAAATACTTATAAATTAAAATGCTGTAACATAAATTGATTGGTTTATAGTGTTAAACCCGGAATTATCTTTTTTTTTTAAATACAATGTTGTCAAAATACTGCCCATTTGCACAGATGACAACAACTAAAAACACATAGTTGGTCAAATCACTTTGTAAAGAAATACTATGAGCCTGCATGCATGAAGTTCACCAGTGTCCACCATTGTTGTTTTGGTAATAAAGAACTCATGCATCTCTACATACTAAATGTAATACAAATGCACACAACCTCAGTTGTTGCTTTCAAAGCATTCAAGGTTTCATAGATTACACAATTTTGTGTTAAGGCCCATTTTAAATGTATTCCACTGTACATGTACCCTGTGTTAATTGATTTTACATATTAAAGGCTATGGAAAAATCCTCCAAATGTCATTATAATAGAACAAAAATAATTAAAGCGAACATATTTTACCTCTTTTTCAAGATTTAAGATAAGTCTTTTGTGTCTCCAGAATGTGTCTGTAAAGTTTCAGCTCAAAACACCCATTAGATTATTTATTATACCTTTCAGAACATTTGAATCTTCTGCTCTGATTACTATGTAGCTGTTTTTGTTGCCTGTGCCTTTAATGCTAGTTCTCCCTACCCACCGTTCCCACGTGCCTGTCAGAGTGTGCCTCAATCTCCGCCTCAGCTGCATCAGATAAACAGCACAGAGACAGACATGAAGGAAGCAGATTTAAGAACTTTACAATTGATTGTTTGCTGTATTCATTGTGGAGTTAATTCAAGTCTTTCTGCAATGATGAGTAACACACAATGTCGTTTCAAAGTTCACACACACACAGTGCAAATGTGACAGGATACACGTTAATATCCACTGCTGTATGGATATCCGTTATGTTAACGTACAAAATAAACCTGTGGCTAATGTACTAACATGCTGCTGTGATGATAAAGACAGTAAGATCGCTGTAATTCACTACAAATGATGCACTGTTTTAAATACGTTTTAAACTTGTAAAACTTATTCTTGATCACATTTGATGATGATTGATGATCACAGAGAGCTGAACAGATCTTTTAATCCCAGTTGCTTTGTGCATATCCTGTCTTGTTGATATGACTATTTATGTTACTATGAAGACATGTTAACACGTCATGTTGCGGTCGACCTCAAAATAGGAGGGATTTGGACTCTTGGATATTTTGACGTCAGGAAGTTAAAAAAAAAAACCTATAATCTTTATATCACTCCAATATGATTGTGGACAAACTATACCTGCACACAGTCCTGTCCAAACAGCTTACAAAAGATGATTTTTATCATAGGTGCCCATCACACACCCCAGTCGTGCCATAGGTCTGTGCCATCTTACAAAAAACTTTACATTTGAATTTTGCATTCTACATTTTTACATAAAGAGTACATTTGAAAGTACTATGTATTATATTTATCACTTGTTTTTCCTGCTTTATGATTGGCCAGTCAGTCTTGTGCTTTCGATTATTAATCAGCAGCATCTTACCCATCCATTAATGTCAACTTCCATGACCTCATCACAGGTCACACCACGTTCCAAAATCCTCTTCAGCGCTTCTGGGTCATTCTGGACACAAGCCTCATACAGTGTGTTGGCAGTTCCCTTTTTCCCATCCTCTAGTTCATACTCAGGGAGCACGGAATCTTCAGACAGCAAACTTCCAGAGTCTGTGTCTTCATCCAAAAGTGAGATTTCATCTCCATCTGGGCATGACCCCAGGTGGGGGTCCTCAAAGCCAGAGCTCTGAACTGCTGCCATCCCTTAACAGATCAATCTTGTCTACAGCATCTTTGCTGGCATCTGAGGAAAGTGTCTCAACATGGTTGCAGCAGGTCAGAAACCCGAGGTGAAGGAATGCACTCCAAGTGTTTATGACCCCTGTTTAGAAGTAAACAGACCAACAGAGATAAACCTCAAGACCCTGATCAAGCAATTGAAGATTTAAGAAAAATACACTGGTACCAATTGAAGCTAGAACTGTTCAACGGACACAAACGCTTCTGATGCAAGAAAATTGGGAGTTTTAATAGCTCCGGATTTGGCCTGGGAGAGCTGTGCTTTAATTGTCAGTGCTAAATCTGGCCTGATCAGGCTTAAAATACACAGAGACCTGTAAACAGGCTTACATGCTGTATACTCTAAAAACATGTTACCTCAGTGAACTGTCTTATAAATAGACACATAAATTCTTACAACAATTTACAATTGTGAATTCATTCATTATAGTTAAAAAGAATTGTACTTCTAAAACAGCAATAAATAAAAGAATTCTCATGTGCATTGAACCTAACAAAATACTAACGATCCTAGAATACTAACTGACCTCAGTAAAGCTAAAAAATAAATACACCTCTTCAATAAACTAATAATATAATCAGATGCTCTTAAAAGCTTACAGTCTGTCACAAAGATGTCGAATAAATACATAAATATAGAGAGTAACTCACCTATGTCCACATTTCAGAAGAAGAGTGTATCCTGGTATCAACTTTTACAGCGCTATTATCAGAAAATTCAGATCAGCTTCCAGAAAACACAGCCATCAGCATCACGTCTACCTAGTGTGTGTGTAGTATGTGATCATAGATGGGCGTATGCATGCTCTGTCAGTACACCTCAGGTCATTAGACCGACTAATGCCTTTCAGGATCAGAAAGGATCCAATGTAGACATTCGCTGCATAATCACCTTTCACATACAGACACACTCACTCTTACAATGGTCTTTGATGCTTTCTGTAAGTGTCACACTGACAATTAAACACAAACCACACAATTCAACAACCTCAGAATGCTTACTAGGGTTTAAGTTTTAAAATGTTTTGTGTATTTAGTGATCTCAACAATATTTCAAATACAGTGGGTTGTGTTTGGTTGTGTTTTTGTATTGAATTTGATGTATAGCTTGTTATGCCAGAGGGATTTAAGGATTATATCATGTGTGGAGAGGTTAATTAGTCGATATTTGATTTCACGACAGCGTGACGTACTTTGCTAACAAAAAAATATCCTTACATGATCAGGTTAAATGTTTATTTTGTAGTTAACACTATTTTATGCGTCCTCTTCGGACATTTAAAATGAGGCAATGTATCTCCATAAAGCTGTCCTATAGAAATGTATTTAACTACCGGGGCACAAATAAATACTGATAATCTTTACATAACTATCATCATCATCAGTTAAACAACCTATAATAAATATGTTGCAAAGCTCAATATAAAGCACAAGGTCGTGCAGAAAATCACATAAAATGGCAAAAAGTCTATTATCATGAATGCTTCACAAAACATTATCTAAATTAAGTATGTTAATCCTCCTGTATTACACCACCCCTTAAGGAAATGAGTGATCATTGTTATACAAGCACACAAATACACGTCTCACACACACACACTGGTCCTACTTTATATTAAGTGGCCTTAATTTACTTTACTTTGCATTAAAACAACAAGTATAATGTACATACTGTTAACTGTGTATACTGTACATAACAAGAACAATGCAATGGGCCCTGTAAAATGTAAATTGGGTCAACAGTGTAATTACAAAAGTAGTTACAGACATTAATTGCAGATTTATATACATGTAGATACATTTAAAAATATACAGGTGAAGACTGAAGTCCCCCCGAATTATTCGCCCCCCTGTTTATTTTTTCCCCAATTTCTGTTTAACGGAGACAAGAATAATAGTTTTAATGACTAATATCTGATAGTTTATTTATTTTATCTTTGCCATGATGAGAGAAAATAATATTTTACGAGATATTTTTCAAGATACTGGTATTCAGCTTAAAGTGATATTTAAAGGTTTAACTAGGTTAATTAGGTTAACTAGGCAGGTTAAGGTAATTAGGTATGTTATTGTATAACAATTGTTTGTTCTGTAGACTATCGAAAAAATCGCTTAAAGAGGCTAATAATTTTGACCTTAAAATATTTTTTAAAAAATGTAAAACTGCTTTTATTCTAGCTGAAATAAAACAAATAAGACTTTCTCCAGAAGAAAAATATTATTAGACAAACTGTGAAAATGTCCTTGCTCTGCTAAACATTATTTGGAAAATATTTAAAGAAGAAAAAAAAATTCAAACGGGGGCTAATAATTCTGTACAGACATAATAAGTTCATTGTACCAAATAATTAATTTAAGGGTGAAAAAGTGGGACCACTTGTTTGAACTGAATGAGGTGGATTATGTTAGGAAGTAACTGATCAGTTATAGTAAGATCATTCTTAAGAAACAAAACTTAACAGATACAGCTGACATGCCTGAGAATTTTATCACATACTGTACAGTAAAAATAAAACCTTTTTTATTTGATAATGCTGAACTGATCGATGAAACTCTGTTACATTTATTTTTAATGTTAATGTTATTAATGTTATTTCTAAGCTTCACATTAATGTTTTGCTCTTTTATATTTTTAGTAAGCAACTATTTACTATGGTTATTAAATAGTTTTCCCTGTGGAGGCAGGGAAAATACTGTATCTAGAATAGCCTCAAACAGGCACCTTTCGCCCCAACCCCTATAACCCACACAAGCATGTATGTTGTCTTTATATAATGTTGAAGACCTCCAATTGACTTTTTTTATCCATATTTAAATTGATTAGACTAAGCCTTAGGAAAATGCCAGATCCTTTCCCTTTGGGACTTGTGCTAAAAAAGGTTTAATTCTTAATTCTTAATTCTTAATTCTTAATTCTTCTTAATTCTTAATTCTTTATTTATGTCTGAAATTGGAGCCAAAAGCTAAACCTTTTTGCTTATTTCTGTCTCTCTCTCTCTCTCTCTCTCTCTCTCTCTCTCTCTCTCTCTCTCTCTCTCTCTCTCTCTCTTTTTTTTCTCTCTCTCTCTCTCTCTCTCTCTCTCTCTAGTAAACATGGTAAAAAGTAGTAAAAAAAAGATACAAATAAAAATTATATAAACAAAAAAGAAATAAAAATAATATATCTTATTATTCAATATATCGTAGTATTTTTATTATTATTGTTATTGTTATTATTATTTTTATTATTATTATTATTATTCATTCATTCATTTTCTTGTCGGCTTAGTCCCTTTATTAATCTGGGGTAGCCACAATGGAATGAACCGCCAACTTATCCAGCAAGTTTTTACGCAGCGGATGCCCTTCCAGCCGCAACCCATCTCTGGGAAACATCCACACACACGTTCACACACACACACTCATACACTACGGACAATTTAGCCTATCCAATTCATCTGTACCACATACATGTCTTTGGACTGTGGGGGAAACCGGAGCAAACCCGCGCGAAGGCACGGAAAACATGCAAACTCCACACAGAAACGCCAACTGAGCCGAGGTTCGAACCAGCGACCCAGCGACCTTCTTGCTGTGAGGCAACAGCACTACCTACTGCGCAAAATACAAAATTGCCATAGCTTGAAATATGTAAATATATATATATATATATATATATATATATATATATATATATATATATATATATATATATATATATATATATAATAACAATAAAATATCAAAATCAATAGAAACAAAATATAACAACTGAAACTTAAATAACAATGTAATAAACAAGAACATTTTAAATCTCACAGTGTTTAACATTTAAACACACACACACACACACACACACACACACAGACACACACACACACACAGAGAGAGATTAAGTCTCGCTGTAGTAGACAGTAGGGAAACGTAGCGTAATACACACATTACACACAAACATAATATACTGCATATGAGTCTCTCTCACACCCACCCCCCTCTCTGCCTCTCTCTCTAACCCAGGAAGGTCAAGATGGAGCGAGCGGGTGTTGGAGAAAAGGGAGGGAACTGGTGGCAAACAGAAGAAGGAGAGGAGATAAGAATGTGTGTCAGTGATTCAGAAAAAGCTGAGTGTGGATTAAACTGGACAGTACAGGACAGTAGAGAAGACAAAACACAACAATCAGCTATTTTCCGCCATTCATCTGGAGACAGAGAAAGATGAAGAGTTTGGCCAAACTTCAAGGCAACACAGAGCAACTTCTGATGTCTTTATCAAACACCCTCCCATCTTTGACCCTAAATAACCAGCAATGGGTGAGCAGACACACATTTGTATTGTTTTTAAATGGGAACATGCTCACTGTAAAAAGTGAGTTAGTACATTTTACTTATAAAAGTGAGTAAACCTATTGCTTTTAAGGTAATTAGTTCACTTAAAAAAGTGAGTAAACCTGTTAATGATGTAGTATTATTAAGTAAGTGAATTGTTGAATAATTATAAAAATTAAGTCAACTTAATTACAAGTTACCACTTGTTTACTCACTGTAAAACCCTTTTACAGTGCACTGTAAAAAGTGATTAGTTACTTAAAGCGAGTAAACCAATTGCCTTAAATGCAACAAGTTGACTTTACAAAATAATGTACGTAAACCCATTGTGACTTTTTTTTAAATAAAAGTAATCTAATCACTTTTTTCCCAATACACCTTCATTATATTTGTTTTCCCCCCAGCTTTTCTGTATCTAGCAAAATGCCATACAGTAAAATGAATCTATTCTTCCAGACTCCTGTGTATCTTCTAAATTCCATACAGGCTACAATTGTAGATTTTATAGACTTAATAAAATACCAAATACGTAATATTGTGATAATTACAGTAATTATTTTAAAACAGACATGCTAAAATTGTCTGACACTGTAAAAATGGATTAGTTTACTTTAAAAAAGTAAGTACAATTAGCATAATTACAAAATTGAGTCAACTTAACTGTTCCAAGTTCTAATGGGTGTACTTTATTTTTGCAAAGTCAACTTGTTGCTTTTAGGGCAATTGGTTTACTCGCTTTAAGTAACTAATCACTTTTTACAGAGTGTAGACAATCTATTTTTTACAGTTCTATCCTCAATAACACTAACTACAAACTCAAACCCAAGATTCTTTGAATATATTTTATTTTTATTTTGCTATACTGTTAAGTGCACACACACAACGTGGACTACCATTAAATCAAATCAATAAAGACTTATTTAGAGTGGCTGTTTGTGTGTTTTAGTATATTACATACACATTTCAGACAGCTGATGTGACTGATATCACTATCAGTAAATGGCTAAGAGTGTTAAAAGAAAATCTGCGTACACAAAATAAATATAAACCCAATGCCTACAAACTAACTGGAAGAAAGAAGAAATATGACCAGATTTGACCTCTGTTTTTTGTTTTTTGTGATGAAGCACATCAGAATCTAGAACACGCTATGATACATTTACAGTATCCAACATTACCCTAAAAATGATTACTGCGAATAATAAATTGCTGCACATTTTTTAAATTATATTTTATTTCAACTTATTTATTTCATTACTTTTTTCTAATAAACTTCTCATTGTATTAGATCGAAAAAAATGTACATTTTATTTTGATAAGTTAAAACAACATAACAAACACGTGGTGCCATGGCTTGCTGATGATTTAATTTTTACAGCATGTTAATAAAATGTGCACCAGTAAAATATTTGTAATGCTATTACTGTAACAATTTACGATCATTCCAACAACACTTTAACACATTCCTCTACAACAATACGAGTCTAAACACTTGTGATTGAAAGCAGGTCTGTTTTTTTGTG